GTATATGCTTTTAAGAGGTCAGGACTAGTTAAAGAATGTGGGATTTGGGAGTCTTGCTTGAAAGGATGTAACTCTTATTTTGGTTCCTGATTTCTCTCTGCTTAACGACAGCCATGAATTGAACAGCTTCCTGCAATCATGCCCTTTGCTCATTAAAACCAGTTGAAGATAGACTGAACTCTCTGAAACAGTGAGCCAACATTAAACTTCTTCAGTATGACTGTTGGGTGGTCTGCATTTAATTAGGTATTCACTACCATACAGAGGGAGTTGCTATTATTACTCTTTCTGTATTTTGTTGATGGAGAAAATAAGGCACAGAGATTTCCATCATATCTCAGGTAAGTTCTAATAAGTTTTTAATGTTCTACCACTTAAATAATTTATTTCTGATATTTTAAACTTATTTTTCCTTGATCATGTCTTTTTATTTCCTTTTGTTTCACCAATATTCCCTAATAAAATTGCAAATAAGACACAATCCTTGTTTTGTCACTTCTAGGAACACAGATTGATCTCCTTCTGGAAAACTAAACATATGCTCCATTGAAGACTCAACTAGAAAACAGATATTCGAAACACAGCCATGTTATTGATGTAATTCATGTGTTAACAGATGTCTGGCTGAGTTCCTTACTATCTGCTAGGAACTGCTTTTCAGCTTCTAAAAACTGCTCTCAAATCTTTCATGTGAATACCTTTGATAGATGTGTTGGAAAATCAGTTTGCTTCTTCCAATTCATTAAGACGAACAGTTCATGGGAACATTTTAAGCCTGTTTCTTCAAAATGGGCCAAAACATTTCAAAACCTCATTTGCCTGAATGAACTCAGAATATGCCAAGTTCAGGTTCTCAATCCTTCCTTTCTAACCTCCTGAATTGTTCACTTAGCAAATGACTTTGTATTTCTTAGGAACTAGAGATGAAAGTCACCAAACAGGATGCCCCCATTTACAAAATATGCATCTCTCTTGTCACTTTTGTACATTTATTCTTTTTTAAAATAGTAGTGGTAATTTCTATTGTTAATCTATTTCTTTTTTTCCCATCTATTTCTTTGTTTTCCATCTTTTTATCTATCATACTGAGTATAGATTATCTTTGTATTTTGTAATTCAATACTTTCTTTTTTTTGCAAATGCCACTATTTACATGTATCTCAACCTATAGTGTTGTTATTTTGTCTTTACCATCTTTATGTTCCCCAAGGGAACGCTGCAAATACTGTCCTCTAATTTTCTTACATGAACATTTGCAATATATACATATATATTTGCAATATATACAGATGCCGTCTTTTCATACTTCACATACATCAGTTCTATAAGCAAAAAATCAACTTTCACCCTGTTCTCTCTAAAACATCTTAATTTTATCCTATATAGGTTATAAGATCTCAATTAACAATATATGTTCTTGCACTATGACCTTTTTGCCATTCTAACTATCTTCTAACCTTCAATCTTTTCATGATAGAAATTCTTAAAAGACTACAGTCTTCCTTCCAATACATTTCTGAAATCCCTTCAATTTAGCTTTTGCCCTTACCATTTTATTGAGTTCTTGACAAAGGTCACCACTATCTTATTCTTTACTTAATCTAATAGACACCTTTTATTTTTTATCATATTTGAACTCTTTTTGACACTTTACACTGCTGATCTTTTCTTTTATTCTTGACATTCTCTCCTTGTCTTGCTTAAAAGTTCTACAACCATTGTAATCCAGTTTTCTCTTTCTTTAGTGGATTTCTGTCCCTCTACTTAGCCATACAAACTTTTTTCTTCTTTATATACTCTGTTAGTCTCTGTAACCCATATCTTCAGCTCAAACCTCTGGTCTAATGAAGCAGATCTATATCCCTGTTAGTTTCTTCCTCTATCTCCAGAAATATTTATTTTCTTGGTTTGCATAGCCTAGAAATAGTACAAAGTCTAAATTTTCATCTTCACTGCTGGCATCACTCTACATTTCCTATTTTGACAAAAATTAATTTCAATAGTATTGCACTGCTCAGTGTCCCCAACTAATCATTTATGTATAAAAATTCTAATTGAAATTGATGTCTCTTAATTTGGTACTTGTTTCATATTATATAAATACATGTATCAACATCAACTCATTAATAGACTTTTAACTTCAACCCCATTATTTCGAGGAATATAACCTCTCTACCACAACCAAAATAGTGCTCAAGAATACAATCTGAATTTGGGAGCAATATCTCATGCTGGGTAGGCTCAGGACCCAGGAGGCTGAGGCAAGTTAAGCACTGCAAATTTGAGACTGGGCTGGCCTACAAAGAAAGATCTTCAAAAAACGAAAATAAAAACAAAACAAAAAATACAAATTTGATTATGTGTTCATTTTGCTTAAAACCTTTTAGAAAACATTACTAAATCCAGAATAAAATACAAATGTGAATATATTGCTTATGAAGAATTAACCAGTATCTAATAACATAGTTTATTGCTTGAACTCAGCATTTTAAATCTGTTACAAAATTCATGTCTGGATGAATTAACACCTGATGATTTTTATATACTGAATATTTCAGTTTCTATTTGTTGGTTTACCTTTACTTAAGAATTTATTTCATTACAATTTCATAGCATTACTGTTTTCTATTTATTTTATATCATCTTTTGAATTTTTGCCATGGAATGAAATTAAATATAATAAAACTCAGCCTGGAGTTTCTTAACCCGCGTGTGTGTGTGTGTGTGTGTGTGTGTGTGTGTGTAAGTTAAAATTAAGGCCCAGATTTTCTTCACAACATTAGAGAGAAGAGAGACAGAAAGAGAAAGAGTCCTGCTTGAGTGTTAAGCCTGATGTCACCAGCATGCCAGTGTATTTTCTCATTATTTTTCAGCTTTTGCAAATACACACTTTTTCTGGCTGCATGTTTCTTTTATAGATATGTTTCATTGATCACTCTACTATCGTGGCCATATTCCTTAACCACAGTAAACCTGAAGAAGAGTTTACAGGGACACTGCATGATACTTGTATGAGGCATGTTTGCCTCATACAAAGTACCACACTTTGCAATTGAGTCTTAGGTGTCATCATGACAACATTCTTCTTGGGGGTTTGAGCTCTTTAAGAACCACAATGGGACACTAGAACTGAGATATTTTTACTCTAATATCCACATATATATTGCATATTTTAATGCTGCTTCTTTAAAATAAACTTCGTCATTTGAGAAAAACAGCTCTCCACCATTATTAACATTTAACTTACATGTTTCTACGTATTTATGTAAATTTGAAGCTACTCTTTCTAGGCAGTCTGGTTACAGGCATAAACAAGACCTGGAATTTAGTCTTCATTACACCTACCAAACTAGGACAGCTCGAGCAAAAACCATTTCTGTGATCCACCAACTCTAAGAGATAGTAATATTTCTTTAATTCCCATAAAATTATCACGACTTGGTTTATTAGAATTTATTTATACTTCAGCTTTTGCTAGTGGTTTGGTAAAGACCGCTGAACTTATTGGTTATGGCTTGTAGCTAGATGTTCCCCCAAAGCCTCATGTGCTCACAGGGTGGGGAGGCTTTTCAGATGTGGTTGGATCCAGGGTGTAAGCCTAGGATCAATGGTGTATAGTACTGGATGAGTCCACTAATTGGTTTATCACAGTTTTGGGTATGGATACTGGGAAGCCTCCCACTGGATGTGGATGGCACCAACCAAAAGGCAAGCAGCTTGGATGGAATAAAATGGAAAAGGAAGCTTTTGTTGGCAGCTTCTGGCATGCTCTGCCATGCATTGTATCTCCTTTGCCATGCTCCTCTCCCATGCTGTCTTGTCTTGGAACCAGACAACAAGGGACTGAAACCTCTAGTAACTGTGAGCTAAAATATATCCTTAGCTTTGTGTGTGAGGTATTTTTTTTAAATAAATGCTTATCTCAAATATGAAAAGTAATGCTAATTATCCCCAAAATTGTGTTCAGTTTAACAAATACAAAACAAGGCTTCTGAGAAAAAAAAATCTTACAATTAGGTACAAAATACTTAATAATATACTTTGATATTCAGTGGATATGTCTGACAAAATAATTTTTACCAACTTAGCTTAGAAAAAAAGTGTATTTTGAAATTTAGTTAAAACGGGGCTGGGGATTTAGCTCTGTGGTGTAAGCACCTGCCTTGCAAGCAGGTGGTCATGATTTTGATCCCCAGTACCAATAAAAAGATTTAAAAAAAAAAAGAAATTTAGTTAAATACATGAATGATCTAATGAAGTGTGTAACTCTGTTCAATGGGTAGCCAGCATTTTCAATTGTGATCTGCATATGCCTCCAGAAAATAATAGCAAATGTGCTTCACAGTGCAGGAGATCAAGACCATTCACTGACTGTGGGGAACAGAACCAGGGCTCATTAAGAAATGGTCTCTGCCTCAAAACCAGCACTATGACAGGGCAGCTGCCAAAGTGGGGGCAGCCAGAGCCAAGCCTCTGTCTATGAGTCAGTGCCATTCGCTGGGTGGGGAGAGAACAAGACCTCACCAGGAGGTGATCGCTGCCTAAAAACCATATCATTTTCATTGTTTTCTTGTGTTATGTTTTATTTTGTTTTGTTTTGTTTAATTATGTTAAATCTGATGGCATGAGCAGCTATTTGAAAGATAGCAGGACATATTATGGTAGCCATTTTGGATTTACTATTACCTTATTTTAAAATCCTTTATTGCATTCATTGTTTTGTTTTTATTGTTTGTGCTGTATTTTGTTCTGTTGAATTTTTACTATATTCAAAGGTATCTGAAGCTATTTTGAAGAGAACAAGAAGACATTCGAAGTCCTATATCACTTATGCTAGTTTATCCTGATTGATTTTATTGTATTTTATTTTCCCTGGTTTTATCCTCTTTAAAGTTAAAAAAAAAAAAAAAAAACATAAAGGAGATAAAATACCTTATGACCTCCCTGCCAAACACCATCTGTATCTCACGAGTGTCAACCCACAAAGCTATCAAGTGATTTAAAAATATGAATGCTTCACAAGTTTGCATGTCCCCTTGCACAGGGGCCATGCTAATGTTCCTCTGCATCACTGCAACTTCAGCATATATGCTGCCAAAACAAGCATGAGTGTCAGATATTTTAACTAAGCTACATGAAAAGTAACCAATGCATAATTCTATTTAAAAAGATAAAAAGCACTACAGAGATACCAAATGCAACTATAAGCATCAATATTTGGGAGGGAAAAACATGTCATTCATCTTAGACCTGGTATCTCAGATAGAGCGTGAGTCCGTATGTGCTTGTGTGCGTGTGTGTGTGTGTGTGTGTGTGTGTGTGTGATCATTATTATTTTATTTCTCCTGGAATAAGACCATGCTCTGTCCTAATGACACTATACTTAAGGAGAAAGTAATCAAGTGAAATCAGACTATCCTAAGAAAACTAAAATGGGCCACCTATATTTATCTCCTTTTCTCCCCACAAAATACCTTTAAGTGACACTATGGAGAGCTCATTTTAGGCTAACTGCAGAGTGACAGTTTTCTCCTTCTGTAGAAAAAGGATAATCAGCTTCATTAATCCATTCAAACCTCCAGGGTATCATTTATTAAATTGCTCCCAATGTGCCTTATTCATTCCCAGGAAATAATTTACATACTAGGCAAATGTGATTCACTATCAAGCATATCCCATTTTAAACAATTCTCATTTTCATTCCTTGGTAGAAGGTAATAACTTATGCAAAATATGCTCAAGCATAGATTATGCCATGCTGGGGAATTATTTAAGTATTGCTTTCAGGATATCAATATTCCATGAAAATATTTGCAATATAAAATTCAATGCATTTAATGAGGATTTTGTTTCTCCAAGTTGTTCTTGCCCTACTTCTTCCTCCTAAAATAAATTTAATCTTATATGAAATGGTAGGACCTGAAAGCACAGGCTCATTGAGCAACAAAAGTAGAAATCATACAACTGAATTTTTTATTTCACTATTTTGTCTCCACATTTTAACTGAATCATAGATGAAGCTAATTTTCTGTTATATAAGGCACTGCCTAAACAACTAGCTGAACTTTTATGCCACTTCAATTCCTACCATAGTGAAGCAATACTAGCTGTCATATTCATGGAAAGCAATCATTTATTTTATGCTTCATTAATAAAACTACCTTTCAACATTAACTTTAAATTAAGATTTAGCCAGGCATGGAGATGTATGCCTCTCATCCCTGTACTTGGGAGGCTGCTGAGGCACTGTTGGGTCCTGCCCTAGGTCCCCTATCTCCCAAACAAGTGTAAGGCAAAGGCTTAAATAAAAAGAGGTAACTGGTATGATTTTAGGGCTTCAGGAGTGTGAAAACCCTTTATCTGAGCTCAAGACTCTGAGGGCTAAGACAAAGTCTTCTCTTGACCACCCATATTTATTAGGTCCAAAACAAAGGGTGGGGAATCTGAGGAAAGCACGGGAAATGAGCAGAACCTTGGGATCATTTCAAAGACTCCTCCAAGTAGTAAATTATGTCAGTTTTGGAGAATCATCTCATCTTCAGGTTCAGGACATTGATGGTAGGAGTGCAACTGCAGGAGTAAAATTCCTTCATCTGTAGTCTCTACTTAGTGAAGGAGCCAAGATGTCTTCAGCTGTGGCCTTATCTTGCCCTTTGAGGTATCTCTGGCCTCATAGGCCACTACAGGCCTCAGCCAGGACCAGTGATTCATAGAGGTTCACTTACTATGAATCAGCTCCCATTGCCAGGCAAAGGCCCAAAGCCAAGAGCAGACTCACAGATAAACATAGAAAGCCAATGAGTTAATTCCAAATCTTGCTCAGAGCTGCTTCATAATGGTCTCCTACAAGGTAGTATCATCATTGCAAGTTTAAGTCCAGCTGGTGCTACAAAGCAAGGACAAGCCCAGCCTGTACTATGCAGCATTATCTTGTTTCAAAAAGTCAAACATAAAGTTTCAAAAAGTCAAACAAAATATAAAGTTGTGCTTTAACTTTTTTGAGAACAAGTAGGCTCTAATTATAATACTTATATGTCACACCTGCCATGCACCAAGTACTTCGTATAAGTAGTTTGTACATCTTCATTCTAAAACTTTGGAACAAATTTGTGTAATTGATGCTACTATAAAAAGGTGAGAAAAGTGGATGATGGCAACCAAATAAAATCAAACTCCTGAAATATCTTTTCATAATGAATAGCCTGTATTAGACTATTGGATTTTTTAAAATGGAAATGGTGTACTGTTGTAGAGCTATTACATTTCAAACTCTATAAATAATATATTTAAGAAAACAGCACATAAATCTCCAGTTCTCAACTATTACTTTGCTGATTTTCAATGCTAATAAAGGACCTCAATTGAAAAAAATCAGATTTGATTCCAGCACCTCCATTACCTAGCTCTTCCACGCTGGACCCAGTTAATTTACCTGAAAATACACGGCTGATGCTTACAGAAATATTCTGAGCTATGATACAATATTTGTCATCTCTAAGATTTATTATTTGTCTACAAATTATGTATGATTTGACTGAATACTGGAAAATAAAGCTACAACCAAGAATATGTTGAGATGTAAACATTCTCAAATAGTGTCCTTTCCATAAAACAAACAAAAAGCACAGAGCATAATTATCATTTGGGAAACATTTTATGAAAATTCAAAGCTGGGGTAAATCTAATGTACTGAATATCTTTCTCTATAAGCTTCCCAAATAGCTAATTCCAAGAATGATTCAAAAATAGTTCTTTACCCCCATAGCAAATCACAGTTAAAATGATCAGTTTGCTGGCTAGCAACAGACTGATGTTCTGTAGCCCAGTATACTCTACTGACATAACAAATTCTCAAAATCAAATACATGGAGATTAAACCTTCTATTCCTTTTACTAGCATTAGAGCAGCAGTCTGTCATATGCTGTGAAGTTCAGGTCACTTTTCCAGCTGCAATCAGTCATGTATTTAAATCTTAAAAAGATGTAAATTGTAGGCTTGTAAGAGTGAGAGCACCGTGCCTGTGCAGGCAGAAAATATTTTAAATTATTTTCTGACAGTGCAAAAATATAGCTCCTGGGATTTTAGTTGATGGACAGTTGGAAATTTGAAGTGCAAATCAGAAAGCCAGCCAAGAAGCAGAGTTTTTCTTGTGCAGTGGTTATAATTGCTATTCTTTTCTTCCCTTCAATGTTAAGATTTTAATGTTGACATTTGCAAGACAATGTCAAGTAAGCCTGCTTCACAGTTTTACAACCTGGAACGCTTCTAATAAATTAATAGATTTATTGAATGATGTGCTGGAAGCTTTTACAGTTCCAAACGTAAATTGCTGTTTGGTTTTGAACTACACACACACACGCACACAAACAGTTAAAAAAAAAGGACCAAATTACATAGTAGGGATTACTATCTGAAAGGCACACATAAAGAGACCTTCATTTTTTTTTCCTACAAAAATGCAAAAAAAAATGCATAACAAATCCATGAGTATATTTCATAGCATACATCAACAATTGAAAATAATTTTTTGGTTTAGCTGCCGCGCCTGGCCACAGGTCTGCAGAGGAGGAGCTGGGCAGATCTGGGGTGCCCTCACTGGCCTCTCTGCGTGTCTGGAGGACTCTGGATTTCTGCACCCAGACTGCTGGAGTTCCCTCAGGCTTCCAGGTGCAGTGAAGGCGAGAGGTGGGTTTGAGGCTTCCACATCAGCCTCCCCATTCCCGGCTTCATTTGGAGACCTGCTGAGCTCCCGATAGGTGGGCTGGCCCACACAACCAGCCTAGCCCAGCCTGTTTAGCAGCCACGCCTGGCCATAGGTCTGCAGAGGAGGAGCTGGGCAGATCTGGGGTGCCCTCACTGGCCTCTCTGCGTGTCTGGAGGACTCTGGATTTCTGCGCCCAGACTGCTGGAGTTCCCTCAGGCTTCCAGGTGCAGTGAAGGAGAGAGGTGGGTTTAAGGCTTCCACATCAGCCTCCCCATTCCCAGCTTCATTTGGAGACCTGCTGAGCTCCCAATAGGTGGGCTGGCCCACACTACCAGCCTAGCCCAGCCTGTTTAGCTGCCGCGCCTGGCCACAGGTCTGCAGAGGAGGAGCTGGGCAGATCTGGGGTGCCCTCACTGGCCTCTCTGCGTGTCTGGAGGACTCTGGATATCTCTGCAACCAGGGAGGGTCCACAGGTTCCTGAAGCACTGCGGCCTGTGGTGAGTACACTAACCCGGCTGCGATTGAAGAACTGTGGAGCTTCCAAGGGGCAGGTGGGCGCACAGTGTCCCTGAGGCCCAGCTTGTCTGGAACTGCGGAGTTCTGAGCAGGCAGAGGAGGGCCACTGGTTCTGTAGGCCTAATGGCTTGAAGTAGCGCGGCGCCAGAGTCCCAGTAGCTCCAAACATAGAAGGGGATTTTCAACAGATCCTGAGGAAGCTTTCAAGTAACACTTGAAACACAGAAATATAGGAAAATGACAAAATGAAAGACCAAATTACAACCTCAAACCTCCAGCCCATCTCAAGAAACCCTAGGAGCGATGTATATAGAAGAAAATATATCCCATCCACCTCATATATCGGACACAATAGCCACTGAAATTGACAAGCAACTCCAGGAAGCTTTAAAGAAATTCAAACTCGAAATAATCTCCCAGATAAAAGAAGAAATGATAAAAGAAATGAAAGAGATTCTAAATATATCTAAAGAAAACACAGATAAAAAATTGGAGGAACTAGACAAAAAGATAGAATCCCTAGATGAGCAATATAAGAAACAAACAGAATACATAATGCAGATGCACAGAGATATACAGGAAATAAAAAACTCCACTGAAAGTTGTAAAAACCACCTTAATGAAAGTGAAGATAGAATTTCAGACCTTGAAGACAGGATTGCAGCTAGTGAACAGGAAAGGAAAGATCTTTTGAAAATAACAAGGAACCAGGAAACAACAATTCAACAACTGCAAGACGATGCAAAGAAGAATAACATAAGAATGATAGGGATTAATGAAAGAGAGGGAGACAACATGAAGGATGTCAGGAGGATATTTAGAGAAGTAATAGCTGAAAATTTCCCAAGCATGAGATCAGAAACTGACATCAGGATCAGTGAAGCAT